TTTATCACTTTATTTTTGAGGGGAAGACACACAATTTGATCAATAAACTATATGTTTACTTAAAAATGTTATGTATTTATGTTATCTATAGTAGCATTTGCCATGATAACTAATAGGTCAAGGCAATTTAATATACAGCAATTGCAGAAAGGGTAAATAAAATATGGTACATACAGTGAAATATTTGGAAAAATATAAATATTAGTACATACCACTTCACAGACAAACCTTGTAAACATTATGTCAACTGCATGAAGTCAATCAAAAAGAGACTATATACTATATGATTTCATTTATACAAATCCATAGAGACACAAAATAGATTTGTTGCTGCCAGAACTGGAAGCCTCTTAGGCAATGGGAAGTGATGCTAAAAGGTATGAGGTTTATTTTGAGAGTGATGAAAATCTTCTAAAATTGATGACCTTGTGCTAAGAAACTGTGCTGCAATCCCAAAGGCATGCAGTTCAAATCTACAAGCTGTCTTGTAGAAGAAGGACTGACAATCTTCTCCTGTGTAATTTACTGTCTCTGAAAACCTACTGGAGGGTCAGCTACAGGTCAGTTCTGACTCGACAGTACACAATAACAATAACCATACATGTGAGAGGCAGAAAGGTAATCTCCTCTCATGGAATTTACTTCTTCTGAGGGTCAGCTATGATTTAATTCCAACTCAACAGCATATATCACAACGATGATCTAATAACACTATGAATATACTAAAAAACATTGAATTGTATATGTTAGGTAAATTGTGTGGTGTATAAATTTTACTTAACACAGCGTGTCAAATGTTTTAAGATGGACTGGAAATAAGAACTGCAAATAGTATGAACAATAGTAATAAAAATAATTTGTTTTACCTTTCCTGCCTCATATTCCTCCATTCTCACATTTAGTCTTTGCTCTGTCCAAACTGACCTTGCAGTTCCCATAATATGTGCTATTTGATACTCTGTGGACATATTATACCTGTGTGTCTTTTTTTATTATTATTAAATTTTATTAGTTTTAATGAACATTTACAGGGATTTTCGGTTTTCATTCCTTCATTGCTGCACCATTCTTTCTACCCTCCTCCCCAGTTTGTTCTTCTTCCCCGCCATCCAAATGTCTGTTTTAATTGTCCAATTGCCACAGTGCTTGTCAAAGTCAGTTCTGATTAATCTCCTTTGTCGGTGTGTCCTTTGCCATTCCCTATCACTCCTCCCTGAGAGAGACTTCACCCTCATTCATAAGGAAAAGGGGATGGCGTATTCTCTTAGCTACTTCCTGCTGAAAAGGGATGCTGTGGGTTTCAGGGTGAAGATCTTCTCTCACTACTCTAAAGGGCCCCTTTGGCAGTAGGAAACACATAGACTATTATGGAGATTGATTTTGGAATTTAGATGCACTCTTATTGATTGTGCTTGGCTGTACATGTTCATATCCTTGAAGATGTATCATGGGGGTGTTGCAACCTAGAAGACACAAATTTAACTAACAAGTTATAAGTACATGAGTCAAAAATTATGGAAAAGTAAAAGAAAAGATTCTTTCATTGTTTTACAAACCCTCCCCCAGGTCCCCTCCACCATGTAGCCCTCGTTCTAGACTCCTGTGATGACAGAAATACCTAGTCACATATCTCTTTTAAACAGTTTTCTCCCTCCTCTGTTTCAGTGCAGTATACATTATTGAACCCATCTTACTCAGTCTCTCCCCAACCCCGAGGTTAGTCCCATTCTACAACAGTTATACCTGTGTGTCTTAGTTTCCTAGTTTTGCAATAACAAAATACCACAAGTGGGTGGCTGTAAAAAATTAGAAATTTATTTTATCACCATTTGGGAGTCTGGGAATACAAATCAGTGTACTAGAAATATGTCAATTTTTTCTGAGGCTTCTGGCAAACCTTGACACTCCTCTGCTGCATATACATATATCTACTTCTGTCATCATTTGGCATCCATATCTCCTTTTGTGCCACTCCATTTCCATGCCTGTACTTATCTTTTACAAGATTCTATTCAGAAGGTATTGGAGTCAGAACCCATTCTTCTATGACTCGGTAACTTAACTGGTAATGCTTGCAAAGGAAAACCTTACTTCTCCAGACAAAGCTACATTCACTGGCACAAGGATTACTACCTCAATACATCTTTTTTTCTCTTTCTTTCTTTCCCCTGAGGGAGAGAGTAAACTTAATCCATAACAAACCACTTCCTAGAATGTCCATCATCCCTCTTTTTTCCTGGCAAACTTCTACACACTAAAAGTATTCAGGCCAAATCAACAATTGCAATACCTGGTGGCCTGACATAAGGGTTCCTCGCTCATGTAGCTCCTCTTCAGGTCCCTTACCACTAGTTGCTTCATTCACCATGGAGTCTTACTGTCTTTTATTCTGTTCTGTTAACTTGGTTCCAAATATGTTGGGCACCAACATAAAGGATTTTGAGACCCTATATGGAACTGATGAAATAATCAACTCCATTTTGAACATGTTATTGTTGTTGTTAGGTGCTATAGAGTCGAGTACAACCTATAGTGATCCTAAGAACCACAGATCTGAATCCTGTCCTACCTTGTGCCATCTTCACACTTCCTGACACATTAGAACCCATTGTGGCTGTCACCATGTCAATCCACCTGGTCGAGGGTCTTCCTCTATTTCGCCAACCCTTTACCCTTCTAAGAATCATGTCCTTCTCCACGGAATAGTCCCCTCTCACAACACGCCCCAAGCATATGAGGCAAAGTCTCAGAATCTTTGCCTCCAAACTTCGGCTTGCAACCTCTCCAAGACCTATCTCTTCATTCTCTTGGCTGTCCATGGGTTATTCAGTGCTCTTTTCCATCCCCATACCTCGAAGAATCAATTCTTCTTCTGTCATCCTTATTCACTCTCCAGTTCTCTGATGCATAGTAAGTGATTGGAAAGACTATGGTCTGAATCAGATGCACCTTAGTCCTCAAACTGACAATATTACTCCTCAATAATCTGGAGATGTGCCTAACTGCAGACATTATTTGAACATGGTATATTTAAAATGATTAGAAGACATCAAATGTCTTTGGATTTTAAAATGGAGATTTTTAGATTATGGCTGTGAATAAAATATATATTACAGTATTCTCCCTCTTCTGTATTGTATCTTCTTGACACAGATGACTTGTTTTAAAAGCAGAATAAAAGCTATTTTAAGAATAAGAATAAAAATGGTTAGAAATCCAAATTCTTTATAAACTTACAATAAAATCTCGATTACATTTTTTTTTAAAGAATAAGAATGCTAAAGGAAGCTCTGGTGGCCTACTGGTAAGAAGCTGTGCTGCAATCCCAAAGGCACTCAATTCAAATCCACCAGCTGCTCTGTGAAAGAAGGATCTGCAGTCTCCTTCCATGCAATTAACTGCCTCTGAAAACCCACTGGCGGATCAGTTATGGGTTGGCTCCAACTCAACAACACACAATACAACAACATTGAGGGGTTTAAGTAGCTTTAGTGGAGCTATGGTTGAAGCATTTGGCTGCCAAATCAAATCTCAAATATCATCAGATACCAACCTTCATCAAAGTTTGGTGGTTGAAACTCACCAGCCACTAAATAGGAGAAGTGGTAGCCTGCTTCTGTAAAGATGTCCACCTTGGAAACCCTCTGGAGTAGTTCTACTGTCCCACGGAGTAGTTATGACTGGAGCCCACAAGATAGTAGTGGGTTGGATTTTGGGCTATTGAGGATCTCATGATGTAGTAGAAGGTGGAAGGTAAAGGTAAAGAAAACACCCTGTAAAGTGCTATTTGGTAAAAAACCGGAATGCAGTCCTGGGATAATTCAGATATAGCACATGTACCTAACAACCTTTAAGTACCAAATTTCTCTGCTGCTGAAAGTCGTATTCATGATGACCTGGATATACAGGTTGCTATAAGAGACATTTGAAGGCATTCACTTTTTAAAATATGATAGGTTATAAGGGAGAGACCTTCTCCTGATGTGTTCAGGATTGTCCTGGATGCTGTTATTCTAAAAATAACCTGATGTCTACCTCTGTGTTAATTTTTTACCAAATTAAATCCCTGAGCAAAATTCTGCATTTACTGGAGTTTATTCGCATTTCCCAGTTAGATACAGCATAATATTTAATTAGACAAAAACTAATCTATGGATGAAGTTCCATCCCAAAGCACCAACCAGCCTAGAGATGGGAATCCCAATTTCAGTTTCCAAAGAGCCCCGTAGTTAGGTTGGGGAGGGGCCTTGGGCGGGGCCTCCCGGAGAGGGCGGAGGCGTTGTTAGGAAGCTTTGAGGCCAGTCTCCGGTTGGCTGTCACTACCCGAATTAAGGCCTGTAGTATTGAGTGTGCGAGGATTCTGGTGTGTGGGTAGCATTTTCAGTGAGAACCACTAGCTTCATTTGGCAATTGGATAGAATCGGCAACCAAAGGCGCTCGTCCTCCCGGACCGCCAAGCTCCAGAGACGATTGTCACCAGCCTCAGGGAATTGGCAAGAAGCAGTGTTGTCTCTGAGATCAGACTGCATTGAGGGGTCTGACTACCTGCTCTTAGTGAGAAGAGGAGTGAGACACAGACAAGACTGGGAGCTACACAGCTTGCACAGGTTTGAAGCCAGAATAAAAGCCCGGAATAGAGCCGCGTATCACTGCTTTCTCAGCAGCCGCCACGCCAGTGAGGGACTTGTGAGTACTTGACATCTTCTGTCCTGGGGCAGGAGCCTGAGAACTTTCGGAGAACTCTTCCAATTAGAAGATCCCAACAACTCCCGCCTCGCGGGCAGCTGGGACCTTACTTCTGCCGACGGGATGGAGGGAGAGGGCAGGAGCTGACCAGCGCCGCCCCTCCAGACCCAGGAGGTGGAGATCCCCTGGGTCCTGCCAAATTCAACTCCCTTTTTCTCCTCCCCTAGGTCCTATATCCCAACACCCCCTCCTCTTTCCTCTTTCCCTCCTCCCTAGAGACGGGGGAGGAGGAGAAAAGGGGAGATCAGGTCATCATGACTGAGCTGAAGGCAAAAGATCCTCGGGCTCCCCACGTGGCGGGCGGCGCGCCCTCCCCAATCCAGGTCGGATCCCCCTTGCTGGGTCGCTCGGACGACCCCTTCCAGGGGAGCCAGATCTCGGAGGACCCACCGGTAGTCTCTGCTTTACCGATCTCCTTAGACGGGCTGCTCTTCCCTCGTCCCTGCCAGGGCCAGGACCCCCAAGACGTGAAGACGCCTGACCATCAGTCGCTGTCCGACGTGGAAGGCGAATTTCCCTGCGTTGAAACCGCCCCAGGTGCGGGAGGCGGCAGCGCTAGGCCCCCGGAAAAGGACAGTGGGCTGCTCGACAGTGTCTTGGACACGCTGCTGGCGACCCCTGGTCCTGGGCACAGCCAGCCCAGCCCTCCCGCCTGTGAGGCCACTAACTCGTGGTGCCTGTTCGGCCCTGAGCTTCCTGAAGACCCTCGGCCTGTCCCGGCCACCCAGGGGGCGTTGCCCCCAGCTATGAGTCGACCCGGGGGCAAGGTTGGAGACATCGCTGGCGCGGTCACCACACACAACAAGGCGATGCACAGAGGACTTTCGCCGTCCCGGCAGCTACTGCCCCCGGCCCCTGGGGCCCCCCAGTGGCCCCCCATGAACCCGTCCCCGCAGCCTCCTACTGTGGAGGTGGAGGAGGAGGACGGCCCCGACCCCGAGGGCTCCGCAGGTTCGCTCCTGAAGAGCAAATCCCTGGCTCTGGGAAGCGCAGCGTCTGGAGGAGGAGCCGTGGCCACTGTCCCTGGGGCGGCCACAGGAGGCGTCGCCCTGGTCCCCAAGGAAGATTCCCGCTTCTCTGCGCCCAGGGTGAACCTGGCGGAGCAAGATGCGCCGGTGGCGCCCGGGCGCTCCTCGCTCACCACCTCGCTGATGGATTTCATCCACGTGCCTATCCTGCCCCTGAACCCGGCCTTCCTGGCCGCCCGCACCCGGCAGCTACTGGAGGGGGAGAGCTACGACGGCGGAGCCGCGACCGCCAGCGCCTTCGCCGCGCCCCGAGGCTCGCCCTCCGCCTCGTCCACCCCCGGCGCCAGCGGCGACTTCCCCGACTGCGCGTACCCGCCGGACGCCGAGCCCAAGGATGACGCTTTCCCGCTTTATGGCGACTTTCAGCCGCCTACCCTGAAGATCAAGGAGGAGGAGGAAGGCGCAGAGGCCGCCCGGCGCCCCCCGCGCTCCTACCTGGTGGCCGGTGCCAACGCCGCCGCC